ACTGAAATATTCTTTTTAATTTCAAGTAATCCACAGTTAGCCATAATTTATCATTATTTCAGGTAAGAAACAAGTACAATGACTCAGAAATATCTTGGAATCATGCCATGGATGAAGTTCGCGTCGAGCGGTTGATAGAAAGATATGAAAACAGTGGTAACAAACTCTCAGAAGCCCCACTTCTTGTCATGTTGAAAGGATGGACAGCTGGTAGAAAATATAGAGATAATCCATGCCTTAGAGCAGCCTTGGAACACCTAGTGAGTATAGTAAAACCACAGACATACTATAATTTCATTTTTCATTTGATGTCTGGTTAATTGTGTTGGGCTTCCTGTGTTGGAGAGGAGTATTAACTGCTAGGCTTGTCTTCAGTTTTTCAGTGTTGATAAATTTGGAGGTTTGATTGACAGGTTTAAAAACACCAAATAGACATTAAGGCATTGGAATTAACATATTTTTCATGAAAACTGCAGTATATTTAATACAATAAGTCCAATAAAACCCGCTATTTCCTACAGATAAATCGCCTTGCAAAAATTATCCTTGAGAAAGAAACAGGAGTAGATTATAAGTACTTCCGTGACAAAGATGATCCACAACACAAGACCCTGTTACATATTGCAGCAGAGCTGAACTATGTTAGTGTATGTAGGACCTTACTGGACCATTATCCTGGATTGCTGTACATAACCTCCAAGGTGCACAGTGTCCATAGAAGGTACCTACCTGTGGAGCTTGCGTTGATTAAAGAAAACGATGCAACTGCTGCTTTTTTGATCAGTAGAATGAAGCATGAAAGGTATTGTAAATTATAGCTTGGGCTTCCTTTGTRGAATTTTGACCGTTAAGGGCTTGGGAAGAGCGAGGGGAAAATGCTAGTCCCATTCTCTCCTCATTTGCAAAGATCAATCGTTATCGTTGTTTTCTCTCTAAGAGTCCAGCAATTGTTTTTATGCGAAGACCAGGAAAATCCKGGTAATTTCAGCTTCAAAAGAGTTATCGAGAGCCCATATATGAAGGTAGGTGCCTACGTGGTATCTTATGATAATAATTATGACCAATGTTGATGATTATTTTGATACATCGTTTTTGAGGGCCAGACGTCATAAAATCATGGTGCATTGTGGTCTACCTTCAGTACAAACAACGCCATATTTGGCAGCATGAACAAAAGATGTTTGTACTTAACCTAGACCACAATGCAATGCAAACTGCTATCTCAGAAAAAGGCCTGTTATACTATTATAAATGCTATACTGAAGGACATTAGCCAATGAGAGCGCGCGTTATATCTGGAAAACATATAAGGTTGTGACTGTCATGATGATGATGATGGTGATGATATTTCTTCACATCTTCAGAAAACTGTCRTTGCCGTTTTAAACTGTATGGTCACACCACACTGGCCATACCTTCCTGAACGCAAAAGCAGCTATGATTCTCGGGAAGAGGAKGAAAACATCGAGCATGCGTGGAACAGTACACCAGAGGAACCAATGAGCTACCAGTTTTATTACCAAATTCTTGACGGAGACGAGTGGGGACGATTGCCGAATGTCCCCGACCCTGACAACGATAAAAAGTTAATTCAAAACAGTCACTTTAACTGGAAGAGCAAGTCGTGCTTGTATTCCATCGCATTTAGTGACAATAAGGTAAATACAGACCATCCAACGTTTTTAAACAATATTGACGTTCTAGCTTAATGACGTCATGTTTATTTTGACGAAGTGCATCATGGTAATCTACTATTGAAAAATAACAGATGTGTCATATCATGAATTCTTACGCTACACCACAATACATTTCGTTGCCTTAAGTTTGGTTCTTCATTTAAACATATTTAAGATGTTCTTTTTTTTTTGCAATGTTTGGTTCATTGTACAGGAAGCTATACAGCACCCCGTAGTTCGTTTGTTGGTCAAGAAAAAGTGGAAAGAATATGCGTTTACGTGGTTTTGGTAAGTAAGCTTTTAGACCTTAATACCTACTCATTACTAATACGGCTTGCCTTGAGGGTTTGCAAGTTACTACATTGCAAAAAAAGGTCGTGTAGCTGAATTCTTCCCCGTTTAGAAGTTGGCTTTACGAAAAGTAAAACTGCTTCTCCCTCTCGAAGTATATTTGGAAAAGGGTCTAATAAGAAAGATCCAGGACAAGCTGACAGTTTTAGGTAGAACAGGATAAATGAGATACCAAATATATTCATTGTAGTTGATATTCAACATCGAATAGAATAGGAGATTACGTGAGAGCAATATTTCGGTTTTATTGCAAAAGTTGTTGGACAAAATTGTCTTCTGACTTTTCTTTTGTTTGTTTGTTTGTTTATTCCAGTGCTACTGGTGGATTTTACCTGGTTTTTCTCTTATTATTATCATATGCTCTTCTGTATGGATGTACACGTGATGACCCCACCCAGTACAGCGGTGGACCTGATTTACTAAGACAAACCTGTGAAATATGCGTTTTTGTCATGGTGATTGTATACATCGCGGAGGAAATCAATCAGCTTGAAAAGTATGTTTACACTGTCGCTTCGAAGACCCAATTTTAAATAGCTTTTTATCGTATTAATTATCTATAAAATACCTACATTTCTCCATTACCTATGTTGTTATATTGAAAACAACACATTCGAGCTTTCTTTATGTAATGGAAGTAAGAAAAAAAGGTATTTTACGACATAATTTGCTTTCATATGTAATTATATGATAGGCAGAATATTACATGGTCACTTGGAGATGCGAATTTTATCTTCTCGTGTTAAAAACGTCGCTACGCTCACTCGTGAGAGATCTTTTCAACAATCGAAGATAACATCCTTATATCGCACGCCAATTTAATATCCTCTATATATGATCTTGCTCATTTTTTTATTTCAGGGAGAGGTTGTATTATTTCTTNCGAACTTTTTCATGTCCACTTAAACAGTCCTCTTTAGGTATTTTTTGCTTTATCTTTGCAATAGCCGACTTGCGAATTACGCATCAATAGTCACATACAAAGGAATCAAGACGAGGCGCCGTGCTAAAGACAATAGATTTTTCACAAAAAAGCACGGCGCCTCGTCTTGATTCCTTGGTATGTGACTATTGATGCGTAATTCGTAAGTCGGCTATTGGATTTGTCGTTTCTACAAAGAAAACACTTTGATGATTAACGACTCTTCAGTTCTAGTGCGGGCTCTTTTAAAATGCGTGAACTACAACTCCCGTCATCCTTTGTTGTTCAAAATGGCGTCGCTAGACACTACCTATTTGTAATATTTTACAAAGTCAGGATTTGTATTGAGATTTGTTAATAGTTTGAGATATTGTGATCTGATAGTTTTAGATATTATCGATTCTTAAGTATACACATAATCGTTATCGGATATCGAGACATGACAATCGCCTATAAATATCGGATATTATTATTATGATATTACTACTTAKTAAGTCAGTATGTTATGGTCTTACTGTATAGTGGTTTCCAAATGGTGATGCTAGCTGGAGTACGTGCACTCGTTGAACAGCAGGCTGTTGCAGACGACTACGCTAAATTCAAGTAAGAATATGACTCTGACGTCACGTATCGTCTACTATATTTGGGCATATGATCTTGTAATATGTAACCATGAAGTTTACAGTAATCTCCTCAGCCTTAGACTGTGACGTCATAAGAGACACCCTGCTGAATAACTCTTCATAAGATAATTACACAGCATCAACCAATAATCATGCATATCATACTCAGCCTCATCCAGTAATTCTTCATATCATACAACATATGAGCCTCAATTTTTTTTTCTTCGTATCATATTCATCTTTATACAATAATTCTTAAATCATACTCAACCTCAAGCAGTATTTCTTCATATCCTACTCAGACTCAACCAATTATTCTTTATATCATACTCAGCTTCATCCAATAATTCTTTATATCATACTCAGCACCAGAAAATAATTTTGCATATCCTACTCAACGTCAACCAATAGTTACTCATATTTTGCTCAACTAATAACCATTATTATTGGTGTTTTAGGTGGCTTCCAGTTCTCGTAGTGATAAGTTATATGGCTGCTGTTGTTGTCATTCTACTCAATGTCCTCATCGCTCAGCTCAGCTCTACATATTCCGAGGCGAAGAAAATGGCGCGCCTACAATACGATA